CCAACCAGCCCAACCAACCCAACCAGCCCAACCAACCCAACCAACCCGACCAACCCAACCAACCTAACCACCCTAACCAACCTAACCACCCTAACCACCCTAACCAGACGAACCAGCCCAACCAACATGACCAGCCTAACCAGCTCGGCATAACCAACCCTGCCTAAGCAGCCCTACTTATGCAGCCCTGCATGCACAATGCCCCCATCTCACCTTGGCCAGGCGGTGTCGGGAGAGAGCCACGACCACAAAAATGCTGCGCGCATAACCCCTCACACATACACCCCTCACACATACACCCCTCACACATACACCCCTCACACATACACCCCTCACACATACACCCCTCACACATACACCCCTCACACATACACCCCTCACACATACACCCCTCACACATACACCCCTCACACATACACCCCTCACACATACACCCCTCACACAACCACCCCTCACACATACACCCCTCACACAATCACCCCTCACACATACACCCCTCACACATACACCCCTCACACAACCACCCCTCACACATACACCCCTCACAAAAACACCCCTCACACATACACCCCTCACACATACTTCCCTCACAAAATCACCCCTCACACATGCACCCCTCACACAATCACCCCTCACACATGCACCCCTCACACACACTCCCCTCACACAATCACCCCTCACACATGCACCCCTCATTCATACTTCCCTCACAAAATCACCCCTGGCACATACACCCCTCACAAAATCACAACTCGCATATGCACCCCTCACACAAACACCCCTCACACATACACCCTACCCTCACCACCACCTCTCCTTGCCCATCTCACCTTGGCGAGGCGTCGTCGTGAGAAAGCCACAACCTCGGGGCGAGCATCTGACAGCATATGGCGGCATCTGATTGGATGGACGAGCGGGAAGTGTCAACACCTCCTACAGGGACAGGACGGGAAATGGGTGGGGTGGGGGCATAGGGTGTTAAGAACATAAACATTGAGTTGAATAGTGCGTATGGGTGGGGAGAGCATCTCAATGAACTCCAAAGAACTGCACGCCCAAGTGATGATGCGAATTGAAACAAATGTCTCGCATGCAGGGTGTTTTTGAGAATTCTCAAAAACACCCTGCAGCATAATGTCTCGCATCATCACCCCCACACCCTCCTCTCCTGCGCCGTTCCTCCCGCCTTCCACCCCACCACCACCCCTTCTCCCCTCCCAAACACTCACCTGTCCCCTCCACTTAAGGTGCAAGCACCACACACCTGTGCACAATCGTAACAATCATGATAGCCCTTATCCATTCTCCCACCTCTCATCACCCCTCTCCCTCTCTCACCACTCCTCCTCCACGGCGCTCAGCTTGGGAAATTCAACTTGAGAGGCGCACCTGATGGGCGCACCTGATGGGCGCACCTGATGGGCGCACCTGATGGGCGCACCTGATGGGCGCACCTGATGGGCGCACCTGATGGGCGCACCTGATGGGCGCACCTGATGGGCGCACCTGATGGGCGCACCTGATGGGCGCACCTGGGGTGAGGAGGTAGAGGCCAAGGGGGCTGTCAGGAACATGAGATGGTCAAGGCAAGACGCATGCCACACAGCATGCTGCATGCCTCCACGCCAATGTAAGTGGTCAGCTTCTTGCCCTCTCTTCTCCTCCCTTCACCTGTCGTTCCTTCTCCTCCCCTTCCTTCCCCTCCCCTGCTTGCCCCTTCTCCCATCCAATCTCTCCGTCCTTTCTCCTCTCTGACATTCGCCTACCCACTCGTCTCCATCCACCTGCCTCTCCTCCACCCTCCCCTTCACTCCCTGCCCCTCCTCCCGCCCGTCCTCACCCCTCCGCCAGCCCCGTCTCCCCTCCTCCGCCCTCCTGCTCCGTCCCCTGCTCCCCCTTCTCCCACCCCTCGCCTCATTTCCGCCAAATCCAAGCCACGCGCGCCTGTATCCTCACTTCCCCCTCCCCCCCTGCGCCTCCCCTCCCCACTCCGCCTCCCCTTCCCCCTCCGCGCCGCCGCCCGTCGCCGCTGCCCTAATAAGCGCTTCCCGTTCCAGCGGCGTGCAAACTGATTTCCGTAAATTCTCGCGTAGGCGGCGGTACAGGCGCACGCAGCGGGAGCCAGGGAGACTCTGCTGTAGACTCTGCTGTTTCCGCCGCTCTCGCGTAGGCGGCGGTACAGGCGCGCGCAGCGGAGGCGCGCGCAGCGGGAATTACAGCGGTAGCGGTGATGGTGGCGCTGGTGGCAGGGGCGGTTAGGAAGAGATCCAGGCGGAGCGCGACCGGCAGGGGCTTCCACCGCCTCTCCGCTCCGCCGCTTCGGCCTGTGCTGCTCGCAGCAACTCTGCTGTTTCCGCCGCTCCCGCTGCCTCTGCTATTGGCGCCGCCAGGAGCCCGGGTGCTTGCCCCATCCGACATTTATGCTGCTCCTCGCGCTTCTGCCTTCGCTGCTTTCCGCCATCGCAAATGGGTTCTCCATTCTTTCTCTCTCTCTCTCCTTGTATACGGTCGCTTCCTCGTCGTCGGCAGTCACTGATTCGTCGTCGTCCGTCGCTCTCTAATAGCATGTCTGTCGTTTTGATGCGATGATTATTGAGCCAGTGACAGGTCACTTTTGCCCTTCCAGCTCTTGCTCGCACTCGCCTGCGCATGCGTGCTTGCCCCACACGCCATTGCCGCTGCTCCTCGCGCCTCTGCCGTTGCGGCCCTCTCCGCCATCGCGAATTTGTTCTTCTCACTCTCATTGTTTACAGTCGCTGCCTCGTCGCGGTCCGTCACAACTCTCGTCGCTCGTCGACGCGACCACTATCTAGCCACTATCTGACGTCAGTTGGTTATATGTCGTCGGATTTACACAATCAGGTGTGTTATCCAAGCACCTCATCCAATGCACATAAGATAATTCTCAAAGTCTACCACTTTCCCAGTATTTTCATAACCATTGCTCGTATAGAATGTTTATTTCTGTAGAGCAGAACTCCTTATTGAAATGACACAACGGGCTCAAAGGCATTCGTCGGGAAAATCTGGCGCATCGTGTCCGCGTCGCGCAAAGGCATTTGAATCGCAATGTGCGGTTCGATTTTTGCAATTTCGTTTCAATGCAAGCACCCCCTACACCTTCCTCCCCCGCCCCTTTCCCATCTCCCCCTTCCCTCCCAAGTCCATCATCACGACTGAATTCCACGTCGCTCTCCTCACCTCACCTCTTCCCACGTTCCAGACCTGTCCGAACAAGCAACCCCACCCCGCTGCTTTCGATTCGCACGCACATCCCCGTACATAATCCACCTCCTAACACCGACCAAAACTACTCCACCAGACTTACCTTATCACCAACCAGCGGCTAGACCTCACCGACCACCAGCTATAGTTACGTTATCACGATGTACGCGCCGGCTACGCAGATGTACCACGGGTCCTATAAATGCCAGGGCGTGAGGCTTCAGATGTATCAGACAAGACATATTACCCAGACTTGTTATAAATTCATTCCGCAATCTCCTTACAATCTCTTCCTCTCCACGGCACCACCCCCGTTGATCTTTGAGAATTCTCAAGAATCGCAGTCGCTGCAGCCATGAGGCGTTCCAAGGTTTTCTTCGCCCTGCTCGCGCTCTCGCTGCTCGTATCCCTCGCGCTGGCGCCGCAGTGCCGCGCGAATGAGATCGCCGCGGACAATGACGACGCCGACGATGACTTGGACGCCGCCATTTCCGCAGACGCGTCGCCTCCTGGTGCGTGTGGTACCACGTTGCGCTCGGAAACGCCATGCGCTCCCCTCCGACCCTCCCCTGCTTTGCCTTGATGTAACAGATCACACTGAACCTCAGACGCGACGTTTTTGATTGAATTCGTTCGTTCCATGCCTTCCCTGTTTCCAGGTCTCGTGGATGCGTTATACCGAGTGAGCCGGCGGTTCCTGTATTCGCCGCGCATGCTGTCGTGCCGGTCTGACTGCGAGGACAAGAACAAGAAGTGCAACACTGATTACAGCGAGTGCAAGCGCGAGAACAAGGACGACAAGCATGACCACCACAAGTGCACGCACACTTACAAGAAGTGCAAGAAGAAGATCAAGAAGTGCCGCCGCAAGTGCGACTAAGTAGAAGACACAGAAAGTTGCAACGACTAGGACACTGGTAGAAGTTTTTTATTGAAAGTATTATCTGCCCAACTGGGGATGTTCTAGCGGGTGATTTCGTTCCAACAGTAATCCCAGAGCTAAGCCATTGTCAGGAGTTTGTACCTCTTCACCACGTCTCACACTGAACACGCCTCTGCTGCCCAAGAGTACTCAAGCCCACACCACCAGGAGGTCGTGAGCACAGGAAAAACTTGACATACACACACACCCCAACTGTGATTATGAGCAGCACACACTCTAGCCGACCCTCCTATCCTGGACAATGCAGCTGATTCTAGCAGCAGGCTGCTGGCAGTAGCACATTAGGACAAAAATCATCAGCTTCTCCTGAGTTTCTCCGATAGCCCTTCTGGTTGACCCCCTGTGCGATACTTCTCCCCTGCATGGTGCCATAACACCACCCGTAGGTTACTGCCTGCTGCTCAGTCGCTCTGTATAACTCTGAACCCGTACGAACCGGTCCTGCATATGGCACAACTAGGATTCCTTATGCACAACAATGCTATTGCTGTATAGTGTATTATGTCGGCATGCTGTGTAAAGTATCACAGAGATGTCAAGCGAACAATCTTCTGTTATGTACGACATTGAAAGAGTAAAATCCTCTTCCCGCATTTATGCTGGCTTTGAGATAGCATGTAACAACAACAGCCAGCTTTCAATCGAACTACCTTGCTTTAGATCCTGGGAAAAGAATTGAAACAATCCTGTACTCCAAAACACCCGCAGCTACTGTAACCTGTACCAAACTGTACTAAATCGCATTTGGAAAACAACAATCACATCAGCACCACCACCACCAGCACCATCAGCACCAGCAGCCCCATGAAGCAGCAAAAGCGGCAGAAACAGCCTAGGAGCTGAGCTCCTTGGCGAGCTTCTCTGCCTTGGCCACCACCACCACCTCCTCGATGCCTCCCACCCTGTAGAACGCCTGTCCCTGCTCAGGGAGATCATCGTACTTGCCGTCCAACACACCCTGTGAGGGGATAGGGTGGTGTAGGGGGTTGTGCGAGTGTGCAGAGAAGAGACAGGATAAGGGGAGAAGGGTAAACGGCCAGCCAGTAAACACCTCAGCCATGTAAACGGGCTGCCTCACAACCGTTCACATGAAAGTGAAATCAAGTGACAGCAGCAAGATTCGAACTCAAGACCTCAACCGCCACCCACCTCGAAGCTGGTGATGCTCTCATTCACATCGGCGTATTTGACCGCTGAGGCAATGAAGACCTCAGCCACGTGGAAGGGCTGGCTCAGGAAGCCATGCCCCCTGCTGCCACGCCCCTTCACATGACTGTGCAATCAAGTGACAGCAGCAGGAATTGAACCCGAGACCTCACCTGGAAGCAGGTTTGCCCGGCAAGCCAGTGAAGACCTCAGCCACATGGAATGGCTGGGTCAGGAAGCGCTGGATCTTGCGCGCACAGGCCACACCAGCTTGTCGTCCTCACTGAGCTCGTCCATTCCCAGAATGGCAATGATATCCTGAAATAGAAAGAGCAGAGAAGGATGGTATCAGTGGGGGCAGAGATGTGGAAGGGCTGGCTCAGGAAGTGCTGAACCATGCGAGCGCGGGCCACCACCAGCTTGTCGTCTTTGCTCAGCTCGTCCACTCCCAGAATGGCAATGATATCCTGAAATAGAAAGAGCAGAGAAGGATGGTATCAGTGGGGGCAGAGATGTGGAAGGGCTGGCTCAGGAAGTGCTGAACCATGCGAGCGCGGGCCACCACCAGCTTGTCGTCTTTGCTCAGCTCGTCCACTCCCAGAATGGCAATGATATCCTGAAATAGAAAGAGCAGAGAAGGATGGTATCAGTGGGGGCAGAGATGTGGAAGGGCTGGCTCAGGAAGTGCTGAACCATGCGAGCGCGGGCCACCACCAGCTTGTCGTCTTCGCTCAGCTCGTCCATTCCCAGAATGGCAATGATACCCTGAAATAGAAAGAGGAGTGGAGGAGATAATGTTACAAAAAGGATGGGAAATTTGCCCAAGGATGGGAAGTTTGCCCAAGGATGGGGGGCATAGAGTGCTCGTGAGGCATTTCATGCTCTATCAATAAAAACGCACTAAGGATGACTTGAGCCATAGCGTGGGAACAGTCTCTCCTGCAGCTTCTTGTAGTCCTGAAGCACCTCCTGCACGCCAAGAGTAGGTGGTGGAGGAACCCCTTCCAACCCCTTCCAACCCCTTCCGACCCCTTCCGACCCCTTCCGACCCCTTCCGACCCCTTCCAACCCCTTCCGACCCCTTCCGACCCCTTCCGAACCCTTCCGACCCCTTCCATCCCCTCCACATACCCCACTCACAGCAGGAAAGCGGTCAAACCTGCAGGTTCTTGTAGTGCTCCATGCCCAGGATAGACGGAGAGAGCATGCGCGAGGAGGAATCCAGAGGGCCCACCACAGCAGGGTAGATACCCAACTCGGAGATCTGCAGAGTGACTGGGTGGGGGAGGATGGGAGACAAAGAAGGGTATTCTGTGCTCCATGCCCAGGACGGACGGGGAGAGCATGCGCGAGGAGGAGTCAAGGGGAACCACAGCGGGGTGGATACCCAACTCGGAGATGTGCAGTGGCAAGAAGCAGAGGGGGACAAAGGAATAGGAAAGAAAAATGAGTGCTCCATGCCCAGGATGGACGGGGAGAGCATGCGCTATGTGGAGCAGGGTGGATACCCAACTCGGAGATCTGCAGATTGTTTGAATTGTGGGCAAAGGGAAGGGAGAGGGAGCGAGTGGGAAAATGAGAGGGAGGGGGTGGGAAAATGAGAGGGAGCGTGGGAAGTTAAGAGGGTAGGAAGATGAGGGAGAGGGCGGAAGGTTGAGTGGGAGAGGGTGGATGGAAGGTTGAGTGGGAGAGGGCGGAAGGTTAAGTGGGAGAGGGTGGAAGATTGAGTGGGAGTGGGTGGAAGATGAGAGGGACGGAGTGGGACGACGAGAGGGAGGGAGTGGGACGAAGAGAGGGTGATGGTGGGAGGGTGGGAGGGTGTGAGAGCAGCTATGGCAAAGTGGACAAAAGTGGGACTGCAAGACCAAAGCGGGCGGAGAGACAGGCAAGTGGATGGCCTGCACTGACGTGACGAAGCCCTTCTTGGTGACGTGATTCCCTCCCTTTGAACCCCTCCCACCCTCCCGTCCAACCACCCAGCCACTAGAAGCTTACAGCACACACACTGGCTCACCTGACGAGACAGCACAGTGGTAGCGTCCAAATGCGCGAAGGTGGTAGCGTCCAAATGCGCGAAGGTGGTAGCGTCCAAATGCGCGACGGTGGTAGCGTCCAAATGCGCGACGGTGGTAGCGTCCAAATGCGCGACGGTGGTAGCGTCCAAATGCGCGACGGTGGTAGCGTCCAAATGCGCGACGGTGGTAGCAGGGGCGGGATCCGTGAGAGTATCAGCAGGCACGTAAATCGCCTGCACTGACGTGATGGAGCCCTTCTTGGGCCTCCTATTCAGCCGCCCCTTCACATCCTTGACCTTTTCTCCCCACCTTTCCACGCTCAACAAAGACGATTTCTTTCCTCACCTGGCGAGACAGCACAGTGGTGGCGTGGCGTCCAGATGCGCGATCGTGGTAGCAGGAGCAGGATCCGTCAAGTCATCAGCAGGCACGTAGATGGCCTGCACTGACGTAATAGAACCCTTCTTGGAGGTGGGAATGAGTCTCACCGTCGCAACTCACCTGGCCTGCCATCAGCTCCCCCCACTGACCCTCGCAACCATTCCAACGCCACTTGCAGCGACATACAGCAATTCCAACCTGGGCAAAACTCAAGTTCCTTTGTCCTACCGTCGAGGCCGAGTGACTCGAGATCATCCTCCCCGCCCCCGGCCCCGACCACCGTCGTCACCGATTCTCACCTTGGCGATCTCCAGCTGTCAACTGCCCCCCGGCCCTGGCTGCTTCTCAACCACCCCCGATGGAGTCTGACCTGCCATTGACCTGCCATTGACCTGCCATTGACCTGCCACTGACCTGCCACTGACCTGCCACTGACCTGCCATTGACCTGCCACTGACCTGCCACTGACCTGCCACTGACCTGCCATTGACCTGCCATTGACCTGCCATTGACCTGCCATTGACCTGCCATTGACCTGCCATTGACCTGCCATTGACCTGCCATTGCCTGCCATTGTCCTGCCATGACCTGCCATTGACCTGCCACTGACCTGCCATTGACCTGCCACTGACCTGCCATTGACCTGCCACTGACCTGCCATTGACCTGCCACTGACCTGCCATTGGCTTGCCGATTGACCTGCCATTGACCTGCCACTGACCTGCCACTAACCTGCCATTGACCTGCAACTGACCTGCCATTGACCTGCCATTGACCTGCCATTGACCTGCCATTGACCTGCCATTGACCTGCCATTGACCTGCCATTGACCTGCCATTGACCTGCCATTGACCTGCCATTGACCTGCCACTGACCCGCAGGTTTCCCAGGTAGTCAGTGCGCATGGCAGGCCAATGGCAGGCCAATGGCAGGTCAATGGCAGGTCAATGGCAGGCCAATGGCAGGTCAATGGCAGGTCAGTGGCAGGTCAATGGCAGGTCAATGGCAGGTCAATGGCAGGTCAATGGCAGGTCAGTGGCAGGTCAATGGCAGGTCAATGGCAGGTCAATGGCAGGTCAATGGCAGGTCAATGGCAGGTCAGTGGCAGGTCAATGGCAGGTCAGTGGCAGGTCAATGGCAGGTCAGTGGCAGGTCAATGGCAGGTCAATGGCAGGTCAATGGCAGGTCAGTGGCAGGTCAATGGCAGGTCAATGGCAGGTCAATGGCAGGTCAATGGCAGGTCAATGGCAGGTCAATGGCAGGTCAATGGCAGGTCAATGGCAGGTCAATGGCAGGTCAATGGCAGGTCAATGGCAGGCCAATGGCAGCACCCTGGGGGCGTCCGTGTCTGGGTTGGATGGGTGCGAGAAGGGGAAGGCATGGGCGGAAAGAAAGGTTGAGCCAGGGATTGAACTCCCTTAGGTCGACACCTAGTTGCCGATTGTTACCTTAGGAGGCTAGTCCCCTAGAACACCGCCTGCCTAGCAACTCATCACCTTGCTGTACCCTTGTTTTATCAATACAATGACCGCTTGAGATGGAAAGGGCGTGGGGAGGTGAGCAGTGTGGCAGTGCCGTAAGACACCGTAAGGGACTGAGACCATGAAACAAATGGCGGGAGACAGTTTCAGGTGCAGAGCTGGGGGTGGAGTAGGGGGGTGGAGTATGGCGGAGGAGTAGTAGCGGGCGAGGGAGTTGGCAGAGGGAGGGAGCAGGGACGGAGGCAAGGGAGCAACAGCATGGTAGGAATGGTAGCATGGGGGCTCAGACGCGCAGGCGGCAAGTGATTGTAGTAAGGACAACTCGGAGTACATGAGAGTACCGCCAGGCATGTAGGGGACACGTGGGGATGTAGGAGGCGCACACACGCAGCTGGGAGGCAATCATGACGTTTCCGGCAATGGCGCCTCTGGTGGTGGTGCAGCGGCGGTGGTGCAGCGGCGGTGGTGCAGCAGCGGGTGCGTGGCATTATCCTGGCGAGGCACCATTGTCGTCAAGAATGGGCATGGCAGGCGTTTCAGGGCCTGGCGTTTCAGAGCAAGCACGGCCCCACTGCCGTCACAAATCACCAGGATCCCCATGCTTGAAGAGTCAAGGCAAGAGTGACAGGAAGCCACTGAAGAGTCAAGCCAAGAGTGACAGGAATCCGAGTGACAGGAAGCCAATTCCCCACCTCAGCCTCTAGTCACCTTCGCTACACGGCACCGGAACATAATCACGAGCACGGGAATGCTGCATACACTCCTTCCTCCACCAGAGTCAGCACCGCTCACCCCGCACGCACAGACCACCCCCACTTCCCCCTTAGTTTTTGTTAGTACCTGACAGAAGAACCAGCATCTATAGCCCACACACTTCTTCGCCCACCCGCCTTCTTCTTCATAGCCTGGTCACATTGCACGGAATTACCTTTACCCAGCCACTTCTGAAACTTCTGAGAAGAAACTTCATCTTTCCCAACCTTCCCAAATGTAAGTGGGGAATGAATGAGGGCGCCACCTTAACCAGCACCCCTATATCCACCTCCTCACCTGCAGTCACGAGAAGCAGTCAGCAGCCTGACCCACCCAGCCAGCCATATCACAAACCGGCGAGGCGGCGCTGGGAGAGAGGCACGGCCGCTGCAATGCTGCGTGCAGTATTCCCCTTGGATAAATCCAACAGCCCGCCTTAGTGTGAGATACCTGAGAGGCAATAAACCCACATTACCGTGTGGCACCAATAACCCCCCTCGGCCCCTAGTCACCTTGATCTGTCCTGCAGTCACCTTTACCTCCTGCAGTTGCATTGACCTGTCCTGCAGTCGCCTTGACCTGTCCTGCAGTCGCCTTGACCTGTCCTGGAGTCGCCTTGACCTGTCCTGCAGTCGCCTTGACCTGTCCTGCAGTCGCCTTGACCTGTCCTGGAGTCGCCTTGACCTGTCCTGCAGTCGCCTTGACCTGTCCTGGAGTCGCCTTGACCTGTCCTGCAGTCGCCTTGACCTGTCCTGGAGTCGCCTTGGCAAGGTGGCGCCTGGAGAGAGTAACGAACATGGCTACGCGGCGCGTATTACCCTTCATCTTACCGCGTGTTACCTGACAGAACCGAATTCCCACCACATTCAACACCGGCACTCACCTTGGCGAGGCAGCGTGCATGGATGGGTTGGGTTGAGTTGGGTTGGGGTAACTGGGAACGCTGCGTGCGGCGCTTTTGAGATTGGAGTGCGTGCAGTGCAGCACCAGCGCCAGCCGATGGGATAGCGGTAGTTTGAACGTCGAATGCTGCGTACGGGAGAAGGAGAACATGCTCTGCCAACTCCAAAAGTGTCTCGCATAATCATCCCCGCACCCTCCTCTCCCCCCACCCTCTACCCATCCCGCTTTCCCCACGCCTGGCCTCGGGACCTCCTCCACATTCGTTTCCTATCCGTCTGCCTCCCATGCATCCCCCTCTCGTCCACTCTCTACTCCCCCACCCTCGCCTCTCCCCTCCACTCAGCTTCCACCTCTCCTTTCGCCCTACCCTCCACCATGCAGCTTCCACCTCTCCTTTCGCAATGCTTCTCTCTTTCCCCTTACCCTCCATCCCACACTCCCCTCATCCCACATTCTCTTGATCCCACGCTACCCTCTCCCACCTCTGAGCCCTCCCTCGTTTCTCCTCTCCCTGGCCCCACCCTCCCCCGTCCTGCTCCGCCCTCTGCTCCCCCTTCTCCCACCCCTCGCTTCGTTTCCGCCAAACCCGCATCCCCCCTTCTTCCTCCCCTTCCTGCGACTCCACTCCCCAGTCCGCCTCCCCTTCCCCTTCCGCACGGCCGTCCGTCACTGCTGCCCCAATCTGCGCTCCCCCTGCCACTGGCCCACAAACCCATTTCCGCGGACACTCGCGGAGGCGGCGGTAGAGGCGTGCGCGCAGCAGGAATGGCGGCGGACGCGGTGGCGGTAGCGCCGGCGGCTGGGACGGCGGTAAGGAATTGGTCCAGGCGGAGTGCGACCGGCGCTGCCACTGCCGCCGCCGCTCCGACATGATGTGCTGTGCTGCTCGCAGCGACGCTGCTGTTTCCGCCGCTGCCGCCTCTGTTGCCATCGCTGTATCGGCCACTTCCGTCGCTGGGAGCCCCCTTTACGCGCGCGTGCTAGCCCCACCCGCCATTGCCGCTTCTCCTCGCGCATCTGCTGCCGCGGCTCCCCGCCATCGCGGAACGATTTTGTCACTTCATCGTCGTCTATAGTCGGTTTTCCGCCGTCGACGCTCCGGTCGTCGTCTACTGTCTCTGGTCGCCGTCTACTGTCTCTGGTCGTAGTCCGTCGCTCCCTCATTGCCGTACATCGCGCTGTGTCGTTGCTTGTCTGTCGCTCAGACGCAATAGCGCTTGCGGCACTACCGGACGCTCGAAACGTCCTTCGATTGCCAATGTAGTTTCGCCGCTGTAAATTATGACGTCGCTCAACAAATCCCAGGCTTGCGCCTCCTGTTTGGCCACCCGCCATTGTTGCTGCTCCTCGCGCCTCTGCTGTTGCGGCCCTCTGCCATCGCGAATCGGCTATTCATCCCAAAAAATTCCGCTCGAGATACAATGTAGTCACCCTGTGGCTGCATGCGAGATCCGATGCACCCACAATGCCTCCGACTACACTGTACTTCTAGGTTCTGCTACAAACATTTTACTTCGAATCTGATAGGGGGTGACAATAGGGTAACCACGTAGTAGCTACTGTTAAACTGTATTATGCTTGTAGGCTGTAGTGGGGTAGCCAATATGGGGTACAACCCCAACTAGGGTTTCATATTTGTACCCAAACTTCTGTTAGTTCATTCATTCTTGCCTAGTGATTCTGATATGGTATTCAGAGCAGGAGGTCCCTAGGACCTACCGATCGTTTTTTTTTAGGGCCCACCACCGCTCGCATGCGGTTACCACGCTACCCCGTGCCCTAGCCTCGTAGCGCCCTCGTGCGCCCTCGTTAGCGCCCTCGCGCGCACCCTCGTTAGCGCCCTCGCGCGCACCCACGTTAGCGCCCTCGCGCGCCCCTTCGTTAGCGCCCTCGCGCGCCCCTTTGTTAGCGCCCTCGCGCGCCCCTTGCTAGCGCCCTCGCGCGCCCCTCACTAGCGCCCTCGCGCGCCCCTCACTAGCGCCCTCGCGCGCCCCTCGCCGAGCCGCCCGCTCGCAGCCCGCCCGCCCGCTCGCTGCCCGCTTCGCGGCCCGCTCGCTACGCAGCCCGCCCGCCCGCTCGCTGCCCGCTTCGCGGCCCGCCCGCTTCGCAGCCCGCTCGCTCGCTGCCCGCTTCGCGGCCCGCCCGCTTCGCAGCCCGCTCGCTCGCTGCCCGCTTCGCGGCCCGCCACTTCGCAGCCCGCCCGCCCGCTCGCTGCCCGCTTCGCGGCCCGCCCGCATCGCAGCCCGCTCGCCCCGCTGCCCGCTTCGCAGACCGCCCGCCCGCCCGCTGCCCGCTTTGCGGCCCGCCCGCCTCGCAGCGTCGCCCGCCCGCCGTGCTGCCCGCTTGCAGCGCCGCCTGCCCGCCGCGCTGCCCGCTTCCCGGCCCGTCCGCCGCGCTGCCCGCTCGCAGCGTCGCCCTCCCGTCGCACTGACCGCTTGCAGCGCCGCCTGCCCGTAGCGCCAGCCTCGCCCGCTGCTCTCTATCCGTGCACAGTCGCCTTCCCCTGCTGCGGCAGCTTGCGTTACTCTGTCACACTGTCGCTATGGCTTCCATTCGCGTGCTGTCGTTCGATGCTGAGGGCCGCCCTGTGCGTTTCACCGCTTGGCTAGATGACCTGCAGCTGTTTCTCCTGAGCGATAGCAAGGAGCATGTGTCGCTCTATGACTACGCGTCTGGTGCTGCGCCTGCCCCTCCTGCCACAGCTGAGCTTAGTGTTCGTTCCCACTGGCAGACTCGTGACGCAGCTGCTCGCCTAGCCATTCGCAGTCACCTGCCGTTAGCTGAGCTAGAGCATTTTGGCGACTGCAAATCCGCTAAGGCCCTGTACGACGCTGTCGTCGCTCGCTACTCCTCGCCTGCCACAGCCGAGCTTAGCCGCCTCATGCTGCCGTACCTGTTCCCCGATCTGTCCACCTTTACTACAGTCGCCGATCTTATCACCCACCTTCGCACTAGTGATGCTCGCCTGCGTGCCGCCCTTCCCACCGAGTTCTGCGCTAAGAACCCCCCTCCACTGTACTGGACACTCCACTTCATAGTCACCCATCTCCCTGACACCCTCCGCTCAGTTCGAGACCACTTCCTTGCTCGCTGTCCCACTGAGCTCACAGTCGCCCTCCTAGAGGAGCACCTGCTCGCGGCCGAAAAGAGCATTGTAGCTGTCGGTGCTGCTCGTGGCGCTCCTCGCACCCCCATCTTTGAGGGGTGTTCTCCCTCTCCCCTCGCTCCCTCCTACGCTGCTGCTGCTGCTGTTGACTTCCTTGGTGCTGAGTCTGTTGGCGCTGCTTCTGCTCCTAGTGGGAGGCGCCGCACCGGCAAGGGCAAGGGGGGCAAAAGTGGTGGTGGTGGCGCTGGTGGGGGAGGAGGTGGGGGAGGTGGGGGGGGAGGCGGTGCTGGAGGGAGCGGTGGCGGGAGCGCTGGTGGGAGTGGGGTCGGTGGTGGAGACGGGGGCGGCGGAGGGAGCAGTGGCAGTAGTGGCGGCGGCGGCGGTGGCGGCGGTGGCGGTGGTGGCGGTGGTGGCGGTGGCGGTCGGAGCGGTGGTAGTGGTGGCGGCGGAGGTCGGAGTGGAGGCACTGGCTCTGGCCAGAGCTCCCAGCAGCAGCAGCGTCCCCAGACGACCCAGCAGCTTCGTGAGTGGCTTGCTCAGCGTGGGACGTCGGGGGCCAGTGCCCGCTGTTCTTATGTCATTCGCACAGGTGACCGCAAGGGACAGACGTGTGGGAGGTTCCACACCCCGTACCGCTGCTTCTCCCGCCTTGACGACGCTTGGCGTGAGGAGATGGGTGCGGATGTTGAGCGCCCCCGCTGGGCTGAGCTCATGAGGGCTGGTGTTGATGTCTTTGCTCTTGACTATGATGCTATTATTGCTGCCATGTATGCATTGACTGTTAGTGCCGAGGGAGACTGTTACTTGTGTGTGCCGCCTGACCCAGGTATAGAGCCCGCTGCCCTGGGTACTAGTGAGTCTGCTCTCTCTGGTATGGTGCCCCCTGTACTTGCTCCCCCCAGTGCTGTCCCGGCTGGTTTCGAGTCTGCTCTCTCAGGTACCGCACTGGCTGAGGCCTGTCACACCTTCACCCTTGACTCAGGTGCTTCCCGTTGCTTCTTTCGTGACAGTACTGAGCTCACACCGCTTCCTGCACCGGTCCCAGTCTCCTTGGCTGACCCCTCTGGGGGCCCAGTCCTTGCCCAGTCCACCACTGTCCTCCCTTGTCCGGCGGTTCCGTCTGGCTCGTTGTCGGGTTTCCACCTCCCCTCGTTCTCGACGAACCTGGTGAGCAACGCTGTCCTCCAGGATCAGTGGGTTGACACCTTTACCCCTGGCGGACAGCGTGTGGCGATCTGCACGTGCTCCAGGACCGGCCGTCACCTGGCTACGTTCACCCGTCGGCCGGGGTCGAGTCTCTACACACTGACCACTGCGTCTCCCCAGGTAGCTGCTGTCGGTCAGGTGTCTGCGTCAGGTCTGGTGGCCCACGCCTGTGAGTGTCGTTCCCTGTCGCACCAGACTCTTCTCTGGCACCACCGCCTGGGTCACCCCTCCTTGCCACGCCTTCGTGGCATGCACCGTCGCCTCCTTGTGTCCGGTCTTCCCAGGTCCCTCCCTCCCCTCCCTGCCTCGCCTGCGCCGCCTTGCCTTCCTTGCGTCGAGGGGCGGCAGCGCGCCGCTCCTCACTCCTCCTCGTTCCCCCCGACAGAGGCTCCTCTGGAGACCCTCCACCTGGACGTGTGGGGCCCAGCCCGCGTTCGTGGTCAGGGCGGTGAGCGGTATTTTTTGCTGGTTGTCGACGACTACTCGCGTTACACCACGGTCTTCCCCTTGCGCACCAAGGGTGAAGTCCCTGCTGTTCTGATCCCTTGGATCCGCATGGTTCGTCTCCAGCTCCGCCGCCGTTTCCGGACGGATCTTCCTGTCCTGCGTCTGCACTCTGACAGAGGTGGTGAGTTTTCCTCCGACCTCTTGAGGACCTTCTGTCAGGCGGAGGGCATCGAGCAGACCTTCACGCTTCCGGACTCCCCACAGCAGAATGGGGTTGCTGAGCGTCGCATTGGCCTGGTCATGGAGGTCGCTCGTACCTCCTTGGTCCACGCGGCGGCTCCCCATTTTCTGTGGCCGTTTGCTGTCCGGTACGCCGCGCATCAGCTCAACCTCTGGCCCCGTGTCTCCTTGCCGGAGACCTCGCCCACACTGCGTTGGACGGGGGAGGTTGGCGATGCGTCGCGCTTCCGGGTGTGGGGTGCTCGTGCCCTTGTCCGCGATACGTCTGCGGACAAGCTCTCCTCCCGCACGCTTCCCTGTGTCTTCCTTGGCTTTGTCCCTGACGCGCCTGGCTGGCAGTTTTACCACCCCACCTCGCGCCGGGTCTTCGCCTCTCAGGATGTCACCTTTGACGAGTCGGTCCCCTTTTACCGTCTCTTCCCCTACCGCACTGCCCCCCTCCCTCCCCCGCCGCTTTTCCTTGCTCCTGGTCCCCCTCCGGTAGACCCCCTTCCCCCTCAGGGTCCTGCTCCTTCAGGTGTCTCTCAGGTAGACCCTCCTCCCGTCGCTGAGCCTGTCGAGGTCACAGGTGACTCAGGTGCTGCTGCGGGTGGTGCTGCTGGGAGTGCTGAGCCTGGGGGTGCTGAGCCTGGGGGTGCTGGGCCTGGGGGTGCTGGGGCTGCAGGTGCTGGGACTGAGGGTGCTGGAGCTGAGGGTACGGTGCCTGAGAGTACGGAGCCTGGGGGTGCTGCGCCTGGGGGTGCTGAGCCTGCGGGTGCGAGGCCTGGGAGTGCTGGGACTGCGGGTGCTGGGGCTGAGGGTACTGTGCCTGAGAGTTTGCCGCCTGGGGGTGCTGAGCCTGGGGGTGCTGCGACTGGGGGTGCTGAGCCTGCGGGTACTGAGCCTGCGGGTACTGAGCCTGGGGGTGCTGCTACTGAGCCTACGGAGCCTCGGGTTACTGTGTCTGGGGGTGCTCCGGTTCGGGGTGCTGAGCAGTCTCTCACACCGCAGCAGCTTCGTGACTGGTACGTCCGACGCTTTCGCCGTCCTAGTGGCTCGGCTGGAGTTGGGGGTGCTGGAGTTGCTCGTCCTGGGGGTGCTCGTACTGGGGGTACTGGAGCTGCCGGGACTGGCTGTTCTGGGAGCGCTGCGACTGGAGCTGCTGGAGCTGGGGACTCTGGCGTTGGCGGTGCTAGCGGAGTTGGAGCTCCCGACTCTGGGGGTGGCGCTGCTGCTGGTGCTGCGGACCCACCTGGTGGAGCTGCTGCTGGTACTGAGGAGTCGGACGGTGGAGCTGCTACTGGTGCTGAGGACCCGGCCGCTGGAGTCCCTTCTGCTTCTAGAGACGCTGCGCGGCCGCGACCGTACTTCGTACCGCTCCTTCAGCAGGTTCTTGGGCAGGCTCCTCCTCCTTGTCCTCCTCCCTCCGTAGAGTGTCCTCCGCCTGTCCAGCCGCAGTCACAGTTACCGCCTGCCTCGCCTCTCCCTGCTCCCTCTCCTTATACTGGTCCCACAGGAGGTCTTACAGAGCGTCGTGAGCCTGAGTCTCGTCCTGCGTCGCCTGTTCGTCCTGCTCGCACTGGTAGTCGTGTCCGTCGTGAGCGTCCTCCGCCTGTCCCAGGCACTCACTACATGACTCTGCGTCCCTCTACTGCTCCTCGGCGTGTCCCTCTACCGTCTCCTCCTGCGTCCTCTTTGCCTGCCGTTCCGGACCCTGAGTCTGACCGGTATCGCGCTGAGCACCCTACAGTCACGCGTCTCCTTGCTACTGTTGTCACTGACCCCACCTTTGAGTCCTCGGCTGCGTCTGCTCTGGTCGCTGAGTTGGTTGACTTTGCTGCTGCCTGTCGTCTAGACTACGCTGCTAGCCTTGTCGCTGAGTCAGAGTCTGCGTCAGTCTGTCCTCCGTCCGTCGGGGGTGAGTGTGCTCTTGGCACGGACGTCCTTGAGGACAGGCAGGAGGACTTTGACTCACTTGCGGCTGCTGTACCTCATCTCGTGGCCTGGTTGCTTGCCCCTGAGGGAGACCCGGATGCAGTAGACATCCCCACTCCGCGCACCTACGCAGAGGCGATCTCGGGTCCCTACTCCTCTCAGTGGCAGACAGCCATGGACGCAGAGATGGCATCCTGGAAGTCCACAGGCACCTACGTCGACGAGGTTCCCCCTCCTGGGGCGAACATCGTCGATGGCATGTGGATTTTCAGGGTGAAGCGGCCGCCAGGTTCTCCGCCTGTCTTCAAGGCTCGTTACGTTGCTAGAGGCTTCAGTCAGCGTCAGGGGGTCGACTTCTTCCAGACCTTCTCCCCCACCCCGAAGATGACCACTCTTCGGGTTCTGCTGCACGTTGCTGCTCAGCGTGACTACGAGCTTCACTATCTTGACTTCAGCACAGCGTTCCTGCAGGGCAGCCTGCACGAGGAGATCTGGCTGCGCCGCCCACCTGGCTTTACTGGGTCGTTTCCCCCTGGTACCCAGTGGAGTCTCCGCCGGCCAGTCTACGGTCTCCGCCAGGCGCCACGTGAGTGGCACGACACACTGAGGACTACTCTTGCGGCTCTTGGGTTCGCGCCGTCTACTGCTGACCCGTCGCTGTTTCTGCGCACAGACACGTCGCTGCCGCCGTTCTACATCCTCGTGTACGTCGACGACTTGGTCTTTGCTACTGCTGACACTGAGGCACTCGCTCGTGTGAAGTCGGAGCTGCAGAAGAGACACACCTGCACTGACCTGGGTGAACTGCGTAGCTACCTTGGCTTGCAGATCACCCGGGACAGAGCTCGCCGCACCATCACCCTGACTCAGTCACACATGGTGCAGCAGGTCCTTCAGCGCTTCGGCTTCCAGTTCTCCTCACCACAGGCCACACCTCTGGCTACCAGCCACTCGCTCTCAGCTCCACCTTCGGACGAGTCCGTAGAGCCGAGTGGCCCGTACCCAGAGCTTGTAGGCTGCCTCATGTACCTGATGACTTGCACGCGACCTGACCTCGCGTACCCTCTTAGCATCCTTGCTTGTTACGTTGCGCCTGGGAGACACAGGCGAGAGCACTGGGAGGCTGAGGGTGCTGCGTTACCTGTGCAGTACATCAGGCATGGGGCTGGTGCTTGGAGGACGCGACAGAGTTGTCCTCACTGGTCACTCGGACGCCTCTTGGGTGGACGACCTGGCTACGCAGCGGTCGTCACAGGGTTACACCTTCAGCCTTGGCTCAGGTTCTGTCTCGTGGCGGTCCACCCGCTCTTCCTCTGTTCTCGGCTCTAGTTGTGAGGCTGAGATCTACGCCACAGCCATGGCTGCACAGGAGTTACGCTGGCTCACCTACCTGCTGACTGACTTGGGAGAGCGGCCTAGTTCTCCTCCAGTTCTGTACGGTGACAACAAGGCGGCTCTTGCCTTGTGTCAGGAGCACAGACTGGAGCACAGGACGAAGCACATTGCTCTTCGCTACTTTCTTGCTCGAGAGCTTCAGCAGCGCGGTCAGCTTCGGCTTGTGTACGTGGACTCGAAGGCCAACACTGCTGATATCTTCACCAAGGCGCTCCCGCCTAGTGATCATCAGCGGCACTGTACTTCTTTAGGCCTTGTGTCCACGTTTCCTCACTTGCTCACTGCTTGACATTCTTTGTACTGTACTTTATATATATCTTGTTGCTTGCTTGCTAGGTTTTGATCACTGTGTTGCTTGTCTTGTACTATATCTAGCACTGCATGTGAACTGGCCTTGTGGCCTTTACTTGTGCTCGGAGTGTGGTGACGTTGTGATCCACCCTGGGCTTTGTTTTGCTTTGCTGGACTGGTCTTGTGACCCCTTTTTCTCCCCCACTTTGCCTATGGGGGTGTGTTAAACTGTATTATGCTTGTAGGCTGTAGTGGGGTAGCCAATATGGGGTACAACCCCAACTAGGGTTTCATATTTGTACCCAAACTTCTGTTAGTTCATTCATTCTTGCCTAGTGATTCTGATAGCTACATCCAATACAATTATAGTAACCATTTTGTAGCCAATCTATATTTACTTCGAAGCCAATCCCTAGCCAAGCATGCAGTAAGTACATAGTAATTGCAATTTGCTCACTGCAAATTCTGGCACCGTGTAATATTCCTAGCATTCTTTTACCGATTCCTGCTTACGAAATGATATGTTATAAGGAAATGAAATACAAAAATTGTATAGAACGTTACAAATACACACTGAAAATCCACTAAAAAAACTTAGTAAACGCTATGGAAGAATAATCTTCACGTAGAGTGGTCCTACTAAGTGACCAAATCTGTAAGCAACAAACGATACATATTTTCCTGCAGAGTAAAGGTCAGAAATCATCATTTCAGAGCGCCAGGTACTTACCCGTGTTCAGCAACCACTTCCCCGAACATATCACGGTCGAACTTAAGCAACTGATAATAGATTATAATAACAGCACATTCTGCAAGGTCCAACTTTTAGCCTGCAAAATCGCACAGCTTAAATGAACCGTTAGTGTTAGGACAAAAGACAGAGTAAGGTTGAAGCTTTATCCTGCAAAATCGCACAGACGACAGACAGGCGCCACCAACACATACAATACCCGTTAGTGTAAGGAAAACAAGTAACAAATACAGTGCTTAATGTAGTAACAACGGTGCCACCGAAGGCAAAGAGCAGCGAGTCCGCTGTTGATGGCCTTGTCCGCCATCTCCCTGCCCAGCTACCCGTACGCTCGAAAGCTCCGCACCGCGCCAAATGTGCGCGCCACGTCGCGCAGCCGACGCACGAGCACAGCGCAGTTGGCACCGACGGGCACGGGGCAGTTCTTGCAATCCCAGAATACGACCACACTGGGCGAGCATGTTGCGGACCACGATTCCAGCTGAAACAAGTGTGACGGCAGCGGGGGGTGTGAGGGTCAGGTGCTGGAGTGGGGAACGGAGGCGGGTGGGGTAGGAGAGGGGTGGGAAGGATGGTTAAGGCTGGCGGTAGCAAGGGTTTCTGGTGGGAGGGTTCTACTCTAAGCAAGAGAGCTAACTGGAAGATAAGAAATGAAAGGAGGAACTGAAAGTTGGGATGGGATGTACTGAATTATGTGTGTGGACTCCGCCGAAATCTGGGCTTGAGCCAATCGAAAACTACGTAGCAAAAACTTTTTGTGCATCTCTCGATCGTGGCCGATGAATGACAGATCAATCGACGGTTCTAACCAGGTCACATCTGAAGGCCGATCGTAGCCATCCAACTTGAGATAGATCGACAGTTGAAATGTTTATGCTAGCCATAAGAAATCAGCACTACTTAGATCGACGGTTGTAATTCCAACCCCAGTGTAAGCATTTTTTATTTGACAGCAGAGATATTGACCACCCAGTAAAATACAGATAGACGGTTTCGATTCGTTTTTCTTCCAGAACTACAACTGATCTTAACCGTTCAGGGCGTACTTGATCGACGGGTAACAATCCAACCTGCAAAAAAAACGCTACAGTTCTCACCAGTGCGCAAAGACTCGATCTGAACTGTCCATTTATAGGATCGACGGTTCTTGATTTTTCGTAGCTTATGGTGCGTAAACACGACAGCGTATATTATTGTAATTGGCTGAGAGTATTTTTTGTTCTGTCGTTCTCACTAAACGTTACCAATTGTGTCTGTTAGAATCTAGCAGCAGGAATGGTTGAACTAGCAGCATGCAGGAGTACAAGTAGTAAACCCTAATTTGGGTTGTACCCCATATGGGCTACCCCACTACAGCCTAGACAATATGCAGCATATGTTTGACACACCCCCATAGGCAAAGTGGGGGAGAACAAGGGGTCACACGACCAGTCAAGAGAAACAAAGCAAGCTCAGGGTGGATCACAACGTCACCACACACTCTTAGCACAAGCAAAGGGCCACAAGGCCAGTTCACATGCAGAGATATATATATGCAGCAATAACAGTACAGTGATGACTACCTAGCAGAAGCAGGCATGCAAGTATATATATAGATCACCGTACAAGCAAAGACTACAACAAGTGTGGAAACGTAGGCACAAGGCCTAACAGGGTACAAAAGCGCTGATGATCACCAGACGGAAGTGCCTTGGTGAATATATCAGCAGTGTTGGCCCGAATGGCCACGTGACGAAGCCGAAGCTGACCTCGCTGCTGCAACTCTCGAGCCAGGAAGTAACGCAGAGCGATGTGCTTCGTTCTGTGCTCCAGTCTATGCTCCTCACACAAGGCAATGGCGGCCTTGTTGTCGACGTACAGCACTGGAGGAGAACGAGGCTGCTCTCCCAAGTCAGTCAGCAGGTAGGTGAGCCAGCGTAACTCCTGTGCAGCCATGGCTGTGGCGTAGATCTCAGCCTCACAACTGGAGCTGAGAACTGAAGACGAGCGTGTAGAACGCCACGAAACTGAACCAGAGCCAAGGCTGAAGGTGTAACCCTGTGACGACCGCTGAGTAGCCTGGTCGTCAACCCAAGAAGCGTCTGAGTGCCCAGTGAGGACAACTGGGCTCGTCCCTCCAAGCACTAGCCCCATGCCTGATGTGCTGCACAAGTAGCGCAGTACCCT